ATTATAAACAATGAAGAAAATACCAAATAATTTCAATATCAAATTGTTTTGCGGAAAAATGATGCCCCTGTTTTGCTCCTATTAAATTTTAATTTATTTTTCTCTCTCCTGTTATCAATAACACATTCTATTAATAAAATAATTTTACAAATAAACCTAAAAATTCTCATTACTTTTTAACCACACATTTTCCAAAAAATACTATTCCAAAATCATTTTTTTTCAAATAATGGAGCTCAAACAAGGGCAATAAGACATAATATAAAGTAATTGATTAAAAACTCAAAAATAAAATAATTTGCAGAGTAATGAAAATTTCACTGAAATATGGAGAAAGAATTACAATGATTTTGTATTTTTGATTTGTCCAACTTATTCTAAAATACAATGAAGAGCTAAATATATATTTAGGAAATGTTTCAAATCCTAAAATTAGAGTTATAGACGGAAAAGAATGTTCAAAATGCGTCAAAACGCGAAAATTGGCCAAACATAGATGAATATGGTGCTCGAGCACCAAGCGATCATCGGCGGGCACCGTCCCAACGCTTGAGCGTCTAGCTAGCACAAGGCGGGTGCCGCTTCACTGCTTTGGGTGCTCAAGCTCCAGTCGAGTGCCAGATGAGCATAATTGCGTCGAAAAGTCCTTCCTAATCTATTTTTATTCTCTTCAATTCTAATACAAATTTCAACTCCCAATTGGGCTTCCAAATAGAACTTCAACTAGAATTTACCAGATAGACTTCGAATATGATTCTAAAAGCATTCCAACAAATAAAATTCCTCTTAATGATTACCTTAATTAGAATTCCGAATCATCTTCAATATAGAATTTAGATCATATCCTAATTCTAACAAACTCCATCTTAACACGAATTTTACTACAATGGGTAAACTTCAAAGATTCTCCACATAGAGACAAAACTCCAGAGTAAGGAATGAACTTCAACTCTTCAACAGAAAAAAAATACAAACGAACTTCTCCGTCAAAATTTCTAATTTTGAAGTATTCTCCACCTCTATCGCAAAATCCAAATGGGTTCAAACTCAAAAACCTGAGTAATCAAAATTCCAAGAACACCATTAGACACCATAGTTGATCGAAGCATGAGCAACAAAATCAAATGTGATTAATAATCACCAAATAAGGATAAAACAAGCTCTGTAATAAAATCACCACGGAATGCTTCAACTGAAGGATTTTTGCTGGAATCATCACCTTTAACCACGAACGAAGCAGAATTAACTAAATCAGCATCTTTGTACATATGTAGAGGCATGTTCTAAAAAAACTATTCTGTTTTTAGAAATCGAATACAACTGCTAGTATTGGCAGCAAAGCGAAATTTTCCATAACTTTCGAACTTGACTTTAATGTATTCATCAAAGTAGATCTCAAACAAAACTCCGACGGTGTTGAATCGAACTCTCAATCCACATGAGTCCTTAAACTATGCTGATTCATTACAACCTTGCAAGACATATAATTGAGATTTTTTCCATCGTTGTAACACAATATGAACACCTCTACAAACCTTTAGAATTCCACATTCACTAATGAATTTGTATCCTTTCAATTCAAGAGTACTTAAAGAGATACTATTTTTCTTCAAATTAAGAACATGTCGCACTGTATCAAGTACATTGACACTTCCATCAATCAATTTAATTCTGACCTTTCCTATACTAGCTATTCGATAAGATGTATTATTACCGATCACAACAACACCTTTGAAAACTTTTTCGTATTTTGTAAACAAATCTCGATTTGGACACATATGAAAAGTGCAAGCTATATCAAGAATCCAATCCTCTTTAGGTTTAAAATTGCTGTCAGAAATCACCAAAATATCTCCATCATTGTAAAATGTTTCTTCAACACTAGCACCACCCGCAGTATCTAATTGCTTTCCCTCCTGACTAGTTGCAGCCAATTTTCCTTTATTCTGTAACTTATAGAAATCCTCAACAAAGTGCCCCTTCTTATTTGCCCTTTGCACAACCACCATAACAATAAGGCCATCTCCATGAGCCTCAATTTGAAAGAGATGTTTCATCTTCTCATTTGAATACAGGGTATCTTAAACATTTTCAATGGTGAGAGCATCAGATAATATAGGATCGTGTTTCTAAACGACGTATATGAAGTGGGCAACGAAAATAGAAAAATCAAATTCAGTTCTTCTTCATCATATTTAACCTTCAAAACTTTCAGATCATTGACGATTTTTTAAGCATAGTTAGATGCTTTTTAAGAGATATACCTTCTGTCATACGATGAGAATAAATGCACTGCTTCAAGTGCAATTTGCTAGTACAGTTCTTTGTCATGCACACTTGTTCCAATATTAACCATAATGCAGTGTTGGGCTTCTTTTTCAAAATGTCCTAAAGAATGTTATTTGGAAGATGAAAACGAATTTGTGATAGGACCTTCCGATCCCTACATTGTTTATCCTCCTAATTTCTAGTTGTGTGCATCTTGTCAAATCCCAACAATGCATCATTCAAATCCATTTGAATGAGTATTGCTCGAATCTTTACTTGTCACAACGAAAATCTTATGCTATGATCCAAAAGCGAAATATCATATTTCATAGTTGTCATCCCAAATAAAAAATAAAAAAAATTCTCCCTATGAATTAAACATTAGCTCTAATACCAGTTTGTTATAAACAACCAAAAAAATATCGGATAATTTCGATACTAATTTGTTATGATAATAGGCGAGAAAATAATATGTCATAATATGAAATAATTGATCACAAGCTGAAGAATAAAATTATTTGCAGAGAAATGGAGATTCCACTAAAATATGAAGAAAAAATTACAATGATTTTGTATTATNAGTCAAGTGTTGGCTAGCATAATTGGGCCGAAAAATCCTCCCTGGTTTATAGCTTGATATTTTCAAGTTCAACTCTCAATTGGGATTCCAAATAGAATTTCAACTAGAATTTGTCAAATAGACTTCGAATGAAAATCTAAAAGTATTCCAACAAATAGAATTCCTCTTAATGTCGACCTTAATTAGAATTCTTAATCTCTTCAAGATAGAATTCGGTTATACCCTAAAATATGTTTTTATACTAAATTTAACTTTATTATTGTCATAATGTATGTACGTGATATTACCAAATTTTGACATTAATTTTTATACTAAATTTAATGCCGTATAAAAAAATATTTAATTCTTAATGCATAATCTCCCTGCTCTTCTATTATTAATTTTTCTTGTAATTTGAAATTTTAATTCTTAATGCCATACTAAATTAATAGTAGAAGAAAATGGTGGGTATCAAATGTGTTTTTATACTAAATTTAACTTCAAAAAATTTATTCGACTAAAAAATCCTAAATTCATAACATTTTCCCAAATTTTCACTTCCTTTAAATTTGCAAAACTTACTATTGAATTCCCAAACTTACCACAAGTCAATCAATTGTATCTAGGGAAAATTGTAGTCACAGTACCAAACCTTTTATTTTGTCTCAGACTTGACTGAAATATTTCATTTTGTACCACCAATTGTATCAAACTTTTCAAAAATTTGCATCCGATGTTCAAATGGATGAAAATTGTTATTCATATGTTAATTGACCTAAAGTCAACGATTTGACCAAATTTTGACTAATTTTTAAAGGGTAAAAAGGTAACTTTTTATTTTTCATATAAAAGAATTAAAGTAACTAAAGCCAAAAAAAAATAATAATAATAAATAAATCCAAAATCAAAATGTTATCTTCTTCAAGCCGCCAAACCCGACCCCGCCGCCACCCAATGTTGGCCATCATCCCAGTATTCCTCTTTCCACCACTCCTTACATGCCTTATCTTCTCCTTGGAACTCTTCTCATCATCCAATGATACCCACGAATCCAATTGTATTTTCTTCTTCTTCCTTTTCTCCATCGTTGAAACAACCCTAGAGCTTGATGAGGATCCATAAATCACTCTTTGGATTTCCTTCTTGATCTCATTCCCAATCCATTCTATCACATAATCCTTCACTTTTTCTTGACTCCCCTTCACCTCTATTAACTTGTGTTCCACCTTGGTGATGCCTTAGCCTTCACAACTTCCTCACAACTCCATTCCTACCACTGCCTCTAATGATGCCTTAACCCTCACAACTACACTCTTAGGCGACCTTTCCACATCCCCAAAAATTTCAAAGTTTGATGACTCTGTGGAGTTAAACATAATTGGCTTCAGAGACTCTAAAAAGGAGGCAGCGTTGGCGATTATTGAAGTTGTGACAATTGTGACGATTTTGGGATTGAAAGTTGTAGCGGTTTGTGGTGGTAGGCAGCGATGGCAACTGTGGTAAGAGAGAGATGCGATGGCGGAAGATATTTATTTAGGATAAAGAATGTAGTGGTGGTAGAGTGGTGATGTCGACGATTTTGGTGGCAGTGATTCTTGGTGGAGACGATTGTTTGTTTTGGGTTTGGTTTTGGGGTGGGGTAGCATGAAGAAGATAAATTTTTTATTTTGGTTTTTATTTTTTGCTTTAATTATTTTAATTCTTTTATATGAAAAATGTAAAGTCTCTCTTTTACTCTCTAAAAATTAGTCAAAATTTGATTAACTAACGTTTTCTATCCATTTGGATCGTGAGTGCGAATTTTTGAAAGATTTAATATCTTGGTTGACATAAATGAAAGATTTGATTTGAGTCAAGTATGAGACAAAATGAAAAGTTTACTGTGACTACAATTCTCCATTGTTTCTATCCTCATATATTATCTTACAATCATACTTAAAATTATACTTTTGAGTGTTACAGTTTAGTCCCTAATAATCCTTTATCATAAATAAGGCAAGGGTATAAACGAAAGAGAAGGAAATCAAGGGACAGGGCAGGGGTACAGAGAAACAGGAGAACATTTCTCCTTGGAAAGGGGAGCCTGGCCTAATAACCCTTTATCATAAAAAGGGCGAAAACTAAAACCCTTGAATTTCTGTCCGAGGTTTTTAAGGTTTGAGGAGGAAGGGAGATGGCAGCGACTAGTTTTCTGCGATCATCGTTTTTGTCGAAACTGAGAACATCGTGTAAGAATAACTATCGTCCATTCTCAGCAAAACCCACTGCTTCTTCTACTACTACCGACAAGAGCTACTTTGAGGAAGAACAAGTTCCAACTTCTGGAATAAGCAGGCCGCTTTCAGAAATCCTCAAAGAGCTCAACAAGAAGGTCCCAGATTCTCTAATCAGAGCTCGCACTGAATCTGATGGGTTTTCTATCAAATACATTCCCTGGTTTGTCCCTCTCCCTCTCTCTGTATATATCGTAGCTAAAGTGAGATGAAAATGTTAGTAGTATTTTTCTATCAGTAATAATGAGAAAGATAGCAATGGCTGATCTTCTGCCCGATAAAATGCTTTCAAAAAAAAAGATTTTTCTTGAGTTTGATCAGGTGTTTATTACTAATAATAGAAATACAAGTGATGATTAGCTTATAAAGACATTTATTGGGAGAAGGAAATTTTATTTTCAGCAGCTAGATTGATAAACGGAACAAATTGAGGGCGACCCGAGGGAGATGGCTATATGTCTTCTTTGTTAGTAAAAATGTTTGGTGAAATTGAAGCTAAAAGGAATTTTTACTTCAATCTAAGCATGCTTAAAAATGCTCTTATCCATACTTAAATTGGATATACATTTAAATCCAGAGATGGTATATAAAGAAATTTTCTTTTGTAATGTTGGTTGCTCACAGTCCAGAAGCAGTTTCCAATGTTACTAGCCCGACATATGCCCATCTTGGCATCATGCGGTTGGTAGCAGCCAGATGGATCATAACCTAATAAGATGGAGATGCTGAAAGATTTAAATACGATAATCATGTTGCCAGTTGCTTAATTTTGTTTCTCTTTTATTTGCGAGAATGGAATAATCTTCAATTTTGATAGTTGTTGCAGGTGATTTTTGGAATGCAAGACGTTAACTTTATGAAAGCAAGTTAATTTTGTGAAAGACGGCAAAAAATAGATTAAGATAGAAGCATAAAAAGAGAGAGGAAAGAAGAGGAAGAATAGAATTGTATTTAAAGAAGGTTTGCCAAATGGTTTGCTTTTCTGTGTTCCTTTAGGTTATAATGTTATAATAGTTAGCGACTAGCGAGTGATACTGTTACTAACATTGATGAAGTCTAGCAGAGTAGCACCTTTTAAGTGAGTGCCAATTGAGTTGATCACCTAACTTATCAGTATTGCATCTGTTTACAATTAACTTTCCACACTACCCAAGCCATTGGACCAAAAAAGAAAGAAAGAAAAAGTCCGTCCGTTTGGTGCATGCACAGCTAGAAATTATCAATTTTAGCAAACAAAATGCATAATTCTGCTTTGTGATCAAATAAAAAAAATCATATCATATTTCCTCCCATTTTAATATTAGTTATCTATCCCTATGTACTTACCATGCATCAAAACTTGCTTGCATTTTCATTTTCTTCCTCAGCATCAAACTCTACCATAGTAACTTTTCTTTTAAGATCATACTTTTGACGACTTTTGTTCTTTGTAGGCACATAGTCAATAGGATTATGAACTTGCATGCTCCAGGTATGTCTTCCACCGAGTAAATTCTGATTTCAATGGACACTCTTACATGAGTTTTAATCTTTACCACTTGTAGAATGGTCTGGTGAAATCCGTAGCATCACTTATTCAGCTGATGCCAAATCTGTATCTGTTGTTTATCGTGTAACGCTCTATGGGACTGATGCAGAGGTATCATCGTCTTCTCTCATGCTTAAATGTGCTTATTGTTCATTACTCAATTGAAACATTTGTCTTACAATGCTATGGTAGTATGACACTGATAGTTTATGTGCTTTTAAATATTACTTTGGATCCAATTCAACAAGGATTAAGGAACGATTGTGAGAATACATTCCTTCATTCTTTTATTTATTTAAGGGTGTCGGGTGCTGGGGCGACATGTTCCCATTGCGTAAGAAAAGGTTCTTATAAAAATCTGTCTTTAAATATTTCTCATCACATGGTTATCTGAATTAAAGATTCTTTAGGACCCATTCTTTATCTTGACGGTGTATATAGATTATTTTTTAGTGCCTTCAGTATTTGAAGGAACTGGTACCTGCCAATCTCAGATTAGATTAAATGGACAGACTGGTGGCATAACTCCAGTGAAAGAATAGGTGAAATAACTTATATTGCTATTTCTTCTATCTGGACTAGATCCATCGGGAATCAACAGGAACTGCTTCAACGAGTGAGCCAGGTTATGGTGACCCGGTGCAAAAGGCAGAAGCAATGGCATTTCGTCGAGCTTGTGCTCGTTTTGGGCTGGGGCTTCATCTTTACCATGAAGATATGCAATAGTGTGGCATTAAGCTGGCACTATCAGTTTCAGTTCAGGAACACACTTTTGAGGTTCGCCTTTTTAAAGCTGGGCTTCATCTTTACCATGAAGATATGCAATAGTGTGGCATTAATCTGGCACTATCAGTTTCAGTTCAGGAACACACTTTTGAGATTCGCCTTTTTAAAGCTGGGAAATCTGCTTCACTGAAGATTTTTATTTTACATCTTAGTGGAACCAAATGAACCCTATTATCGTGTTTCCTGTAATTTGATGGTATTGTCGATTCCTGCATTTAATGGAGTTGGGTAATTTTAAGAACTTGAGAATGTTGGTTTTGGTTTTTCTTTGTATCTGAATATACAGTTTTTTTCTGTCTATTAAGAACCGGGTAGATTACTGAGTCGGATCTTTTTCTTCACCTCCAGGAATGCTTTTTGGATTCATGGGGATCGACCTAGACAGATCATAACTAAGATTGAATTGCCAACGGTTGTATTCTTTGTTTGCTCACTTCTAAGGGAACCTATATTGGAATGCTTAAGACCTCTCACTCTCTACTCTTCGATCTATCTCTCACTCTGCTTCTAGCTCTCCTTGTGCTTATCTACTTATCCAGACAATATGCTCCATGTTGCTTAAGAATTTCACCTAGTCATGAACCTCACGTACAGCTTTAGTTCTACTTCCCTTATGGGAGACTTATTTGTATTCATCTATATTGTATGGCCCTGGCTGTGGTGGTTTATTCTTCAGCCTCATCAGCGTTCTAAATTGGATGCTTCTTGGGTTATGACACTGAACAAAGGATTTCTTGTATGATTCTACATCCAAGAGACCACATTTTTTATCGTCACACCTTTCAGCATCATATGATGTCAAGCAACACAATGCTCAAGGTGAGGGTACAATAATATTCCTTCACGTTGTTGTCGAGGCTATAATATGAGAAAGTTCATTTACCACACTATACTCTTAGAAAAAGCTCGAACAACCTCGAACGACCTTTACACAAAACGGTATTTGTACTCGAAACCAGCATAGATGGATAGGTAGAGAACACCTAGACTTACGAGACTGCTCTTTCTAAAGAACTCGGCGGGAGTGAAACTGTGGAGGACACATGCACGTGGCGTGGATTAACAATGCACGTGGCGTGGATTAACAGTCCAGTCCACATGTGCCCGCTGCACTAATAAGAGAAGAATCTGACTGACTTTGTATTCAAAACACTTAAAAGAAGCAAGTTGGAGACAGCTCAAACCATCACAACCCACCTGAAGATTACTATTCCTTTTTCTAGAAAATTGAGGCAAATTGTGCTACAGTGCTGCTCCTAAGTTAAACATGACAAATTATGCTATAGTGCTAGATGTCTTGACATAATCTTTGACATAATGTCACATGACATTTCATCATTTGACCGGTTTAAAAACAGTCAGCTTTTTTATCAAACCATCCACTACCTCGGATTATGTTACTGTATCTGTTAAATTTCTTCCGACAAAGTGACAAAATTCAAACATGACTAATTAGATAAGAGAGAGTTGGTAGACAGATTGGAGTGGATTGGATTGCTGTTCAACCATCCTAACTTTGTCCATTGCACATTTTAGTATTTATAATGTACATAAGGAGAATGTTTCTATCTAATCAAGTTTTCCAATTTGTTATAAGTATTTTATGCATAATTATCAAATCAATGACATGATCAAAGTATTGAGTCGCAAAGTATAAGTAGCTCGCCGTAAATTAAAAATTTAATAAATTATCAAAATAAAAATAAATTTCTACTAAAACTCATCTTGCACACCTCTTGGATCTATCAGACAAATTTAATAAATAAACATGACTTTTTATGCAAATGAATGTCATTAATATAATCCAATTGAATCTATAGTAAGGAGAAATGGTAATATTCTTCTAATTTAGACACTAAGTGGTCCCGTTCATTATGAATATTTGTACGTTGATAAATCAATACCAAACAGCGATTGACAAAACACAATAATAATGTTATGTGCACCACAACTAAACCAATAAGCCCAAATCTCATAATTAGCGCGTCCACTTCACCGCTATATCAATTTCCCTATTTTTTTTTTACCTCGTCTCACTATAAACAGACACTATTCCTTAAGTACATGTTTAGTCAACAATTAAATCCTTATTTGATCCTAATTTTTTTAAAATACATTTTTCTTTATTTTTTTTTTTTTCAATCACACAATTTTCAATAAAGTATTATTATACGCAAATTCAAAATTTTTCCTTAATTTTTTAATACACATTTTTCATCAATCTACCATTTCAAAATTCATTCTACGCCAAAAATGGGTTTCAAACAGGCTATAAATTTAATCACATATTTCATGAGATCCATAATTTTTTAACCACACATTTCATCAACTTTAATCAAAATCTACTCAAAATATTATTTTAATCTCTACCAAACATGGGCTAAATAATGAACAACAACCCCCTCTCTCTCTCTCTCTCTCTCTCTTCACAATTAATTAATGTGACTTTTCAAAATTCCTACAAACTATTGTAGGTAAATCAATGAATTAAAAAAATGATTTTGCTGGATGATGATACTTGTTTATCAATATAGTATTATTATACTTTTCAAAATTCCTACAAACTATATGCATTTTTTAAGGTATAATAATAAAAAAAAGCCAAAAAGTTGATAGAATCCAAGTACGAATTGAATTGGTATACGTAGACGTTAATTTCTATAATCACGAGATTACAATGTCCAATGATTTTAATATCTACAGTCACAATAATAAAGTTTATACTTTACAATTTTATTTCCTATTCTACTTTCAGTGTGGATATTAAAGAAATACATAACAAAATTTTCTAGTTAATGAAAATAAGATAGGGGTGGCAAACAAACCAAACAACTCGTCGACTCGACTCTCAAAACTCAACTCATGGACTACTGGGGCTCGTCCTTGGACAAGCACGAGCCGAGTGGGCCGCTCGCCAGGCTAGCCAAATCACTAGGCGAGCCCACGAGCATAGATGACGAGCCACGAGCCCTCGTGCCTCGCTATCTCTAGTGACCAAAACGGTTAATGTAGATAGTTTAGTGACTGTTGCCGACAATGGTCACTGGACTATTAACAGTAGTCGTTTGGCTATTTAATTTATTTTTTAACTCTATAAATACCCTATTCATTTAACACTTTTTCTTCACACGAAAACAACAATTATTACTCTCTTCCACATTCTACAATATACATTCTACCTTCAATCTCAAAATTTTTAGTATTCTTACATCTTACTCTCTTCACATACTCTTATTTACTTACTATACACAATACATATTCTCTACATAAAATTTTGTACACATTGTCACTACAATTTATGTTCCTATAATTATCCAATTTCTATATATTCATTCGTCATTTCATCTTCATTCAAGTTCATATATTATCAATTCATTACAAATGGATCCACAATTATTTGTTCAGGGTTTATTCGGTATCAGTGGTGAATCACCTATGATGTCACAAAGTCAATTTCATAATGAATTTGTTGGTCTCAACGACATAGCCATTTCCAAAAATATTCCGAATTTAGATGTTCACGAAAGTAGTAATACAATTGATTTAGATTACATTAATGCTATCAAAAAAGAACAAGCGGAACTAGATATTCCTGATGTAAAAGAGAAACGAAATGGAAAAAAATCAACAAAATGTCGGGATCACTTTAAATTGATTTCAACGCGCCGTACGATCGATGAAGTCACAGATTCTAAAGCAGCATGTAAATATTGTAAAAAACGATTGATCTATCAAAAGGGCATCGATACCACCCATTTCAACCATCACTACAAAGCATGTGATGCCAAACATGGGCTTGTTGGTAGCACTCAAACGCAACTGCAATTTGATAGTCCTACCGCTGGTTTTGCTTCTACGACATTTAGCACAAGATGTGTTTGTAGGAGAGAGTTTGAACGAGAATGGTGAAGTTCTTTATTGGTGCTGAGTTGCTTCTAACCAACATTACGTCTCCCACGTGAAATAATATTTTCAATTGAGGTACGTTGGGGTAAATAGAAACACTCTTCGTTCCGATATAATAGAATGTTTCCTTAATATAAAGAAACAATTGATTGTTGATTTGCAAAAATATGATGGTGTTATATCTTTAACTTTGAATTTATGAGATTGTATTAATAAAAGAGGTTATATAACTGCAATTGCACACTATATAGACCCACTTTGGTATATGCATAAAAAATTATTGTTTTTAAAATAATTAAGTTCTCTCACAACATTAACAATATATTTAATTATATTATGAGCATTATTAGAGAATATCATTGCGAGAGTAAAGTTTGTTCTTTTACATTTGACAACTCTAGTGTTAATAAACCAGTTATTAATAAATTGTATAGGGATTTGTAGCATGATTTCGATGGTTATTTATTTCATGTTCGTTGTGTGTGTTATATTTTTAATTTAATTGTACAAGATTATTTGAAACATATTAATAATAAAATTCAAAAAATTAGAGATGCACTAATATATATATCACAAATTTACCTAGTAGAAAACTAGTTTTTGACGAATTTGGTGTGACGAATACTAAAATATTTGTTAGTGACATACAATATAGATGGAACTCAACTTATTATTAAAATCAAGCGATGGATATGAACATTTAATATTCCCCCACTTCCCATTTATATAGGCTGATTTTGTTTTCACACGAATTAAGAAATCTTATTTAATATTATTGAAAAAGTAATTTTTGCCAAAAAAATTATAGTTTACCCTTATTTAATTATTAACAACTAGTAGTAGTAAAATATAAATAGACAAATTAAATAAAGATATATTAGTAAACAAACAAAACAAAACATTTTCAATAAAGAAACATGACTATATAATTAGAACAAGAAAATAAGGAAAGTCAGCCTATATAAATGGGACGGAATAAGTAACTGAATTTTATAAAAATAGGCGAATTAGAAACGATGATGACACTATTTTAA